CATCTTTGTCTTCCTGCTGACAATTTTGAAAGGGACCATCCAAACTTATAATGGGGTAGGACTATCTCAATTATCATATCTTAAAAATGGGGGTGATGATACTGAGCAACCAGCTAGGAAATGGATGATATTTAATTAATTTCAAATGTTCATGTCTTAATACACACCATTTAATCAGGATTGTTGTTCAATAATTGCCTCTTTGAGTCCTTATAAAATAAGGGTTAAAAAGCTTAAAACAGTGAGCATCAAATGCAGCAGGTACAATTATTTTTATAACATTAGCATCCATCTTGAAGCAAACAAGGTACTATGGAGAAAGAGAAATTGATGACAACATTTGGTTGTAGAAAGCACATATTGGATGTCAGTAGGTAGTATAATACAGTGTAGAGCAGTTACACAACTAGGTCAAAAGTAAACCATCTGATTTAAGAAGCACAGAATACAATCATGCATTCAGCTCTACAACTGCTAATCAGCAGTATGCTAAACATAAGTATGTCTGCTTATGTATTGCTGCAAATATGTTATTTCTTTAATGAAAAACTTCTATATAAGAATATTGATTTGAGAAACGTTTAAAGAATCTTAATCAAGCTACTGCAATTTTATTTACCTGTAACATAAAATAATTATTCCCTCAATTTTCTTCTGTTTTAAAAAAAGTTTTCTTTAGGTCAGATCCATTTGCTACAGTCTGGCTTACATACATATTGGTGATGATCAAAATGATTCTGAACATAATAGCAATTGCAGAGATTTAAAAAGAACCAACCATCTGCCCAGGGAAAGAAAGTGGAGATGATTTTGGAACTAAAAGCAATAAACAGTGTTTTGTTATGAAAAGTGTGTTAAAAAAAATCCTATGATCTCGGCTATCCTAGGGCATATATGTAACCATACCCTTTGTTTTGCAATTAATGGAAAATCGTCTCTTCCAGATTAATAGTTTCACATGAAACATTTTTAGAATGTTATGGTTTTTCAGCCTTATCAATTAATTTTTTTAATGCATTTTGGTTTTAATACTTAAACTCTATCTATCAGCTGCCTAGAGCTGGTTGTTGCAGGTGCTCTGATAAAATTTATAAATAAATAAATCTTATCTCCTATAGCTCTTATACATGTGATCCTATATGAATATTATTTCTTGCCAGCAGACATGTTCCAATGTATTTTGCTTGCACCCTTGTTTGCACATTTTGTGCTTGATCAACTAGAGTTGGTTAGTCAATATGAACACCAGCTCCCCAGTGAAATAATGTTGCTACTTTTATTTGTAGATCAGAGGTTAAGCAATCTAGTAATTTCCTAATAGTTCAAGCCAGCAGAAACAACAGATGAAGAGATTTAATAGGCTCCCCAATTTTTTTGGTAGTTAGGTTTAGAATTCCAGAATGACATACGGGTACTTTCAAACCAGCTTTTTGGTCACTGTGACTGTGAGCTTTCCCCCTATTAACTTTCTAGACACCAAGAATGCTCTTTAATATTTTGCTTTATTATTATTTTTTCTGAACACTTAGCCCTAAGATCCAGGCACCCATCATTTTATTCTCAGAACAACTGACAATTTAAATAAGGATTCATTATATTCTATGAAATAAAAAATATGTTTAAGAGTGTATCTTCAGAGTAGCTGCTCATTTTTACACACATTCATACAACATGTATTAACAGCCTTGTAAATGCTAAGACAGATGTCACCTGCCACACTGATGCCCATGATGAAAGTTCAGTATGTCTATTTCAAAAGAAAAATTCGATACGACTTTAACTACAGAATAGGAACAGAGTTCATGGCTCATTGGCTTCTTTTAAATCATTTAAGTATGGGACTTGTGTGTATGTCTCTGTGTTGTATAATATACTATTGAACCAATAACCCAAGATTATTGTTTTACTTATGCCATAAGGATTTATAACAAATGTTACGGTTTGACATCTAGTCACAATCATGCTGCAAAAGGTAAAAAAAATGACACAATAAAGAGTAATGACAAATGAGATTTTAGAAGTGATGGCTAAAATTCACCTGTCACAACAGAAGTGGGATTAATACATATCCGTGCACAAATGGTACAGTACCTTGTTTGTTGTTCTTCATTAAATCTACCAACATTTCCCCTCCAGTTCCAAAATCATTTGTTTCATGCTCTAGCTCCATTTCGGTATCACTGCTACTGCTAGCAGAGTAAGTGCACACTCTCAGTGCCCTGTCCTGTACAAAACAACATATAATTCCTTGACTCAAAATAGAAAACATTTCACCGAAAGCAGTGGGTCTGAAGTGCAGGCAAATAAGGTGAGTCCTTTTTTTAAATCTTTTCCAGCCCAAACTATTTATTTAGCTGCTGCCATTTGCTACCTATTATGTTATTAAATATCATAATCCCTGAACTTTCTCCCAGCAAAACTTAAATATTAAAAGCTGTCCAGCAATCCAGCTATAGAATCCACCTTGCTTTAATGTTACTCAAATCATTTAAGTAAAAAGGATCCATGAAGAGTTAGTGGCAACCCAGAAATGCAGAGTGGGTCATTTGCCTGTTTTTTCTCTGGGGTATGAAACAGTCATCCTGTCAAATCCCTGAAATGACAGAAATGGAGGCAAACATTACTCCTGGGTGAGGAATACTATGGGAATATTTTGGATGTTTCCTATATTATAATTTAATGGGTTGGCATGTATATTTTTATTGTTTTAGAGATATTTATTTCTTAGGATTATAATTTTAATGCTATGAGCCACACAGAGTCATTTGGTTACGAGTTAGGGACAAAATAAATTCAATAAATACATAAATAAAATGTTAAAGAAACAAAGTTGGAGGGACCTTGGATATCATCTAGTACAGTGGTCGCCAACCTTTTCGATTTGGCGGCCAGTCAGGAGGGAGAGGGGATGGATTGTTTGACTGATAAGCGTGCGTGCAAGTGGCAAACAGCTCCATTTGCATACGCACATGCTCACCCACTGTTTGCACAGTCCATTTCTGAACAGGCTGAGGCTTACTAGTGGGCCATGGCCTATGAGTTGGGACCCCTGATCTTGTATAGTCCCTACAAAGTGCAGGAATCCAATTCTGCAGTGTCTTCCTATGAAACAAAGTGTACTGTATTGCAGTAAGGAATGTGAATCAATACCATTTCCCAGAGGTACAATCTTCTGTAAGCATTATTATTTTTATTTTGTTTGTGCTTATATCTAAGCATAGTGCTACACTGAGTTTTTCTCATAGCTATCACCTTCTGAGGTTGATGGAGCTGAGACAAGAGTGAATGGCTCAGAGACATCTAGAGGGCTTCTGTGCTGAAAGTGGTTGAAGTTATAGTGGTTAAGGTGCTGGCTTAGAAACTAGGAGCTGATGAATTCTAATTCTGCCTTAGGCATAAAGGTTGGCTGAATGACTTTGGCCCATCACTCTCAGCAGACTCACCTCCCAGGGTTGTTGTTATGGGGTAAATAAAAGGAGGAAGGAGTATTAAATGCATTGATCACCTTGAGTTACTTATAAAAATAATACAGGCGAGATAAAAATCTAATAAAATTTAGGTCTTCCCAGTCAAATCCAATACTTTAATCCCCTTCACCACTCTGACTTCCCCTCACTATTCTAAAGGAAAGGATTCAGACTATTATCTTAAAGAACTATAGATTTATTCTAATTCTTTATTTGGCACAATGCAAATAATTTTATGATTGTAATTTTTCAGTATAGCTTTAAAAAAAAAGGATGCAAGGTAGACATGTAGTATCTTCTTGGTGAGTTTCTTCTCTTTTTTCCAAAGGAGATTCTGAGTTTGATCACAGAAATGCAATGGGCTTTTCTTTTACTCTTTGACACAGTCCAGGCTTCCAAAAGAAATCAACCCAAGTATTTTTTTTTCTCTCAGAGGAGAAAATATAACTGCTCCATATATTCTTTGCACTTCAAAAAAGGAAAGCAGCTTTGGATGAAGGCAACTTTGATTCGGGGAAAAAAATAGCAAAAAATTTAAACATTCCTATCTTCACTGCCTGTTTTATCAAATTCAAGGCTGCTAACACTTGCAGTAAAGAAAATAACAACAGCACAACATATTCTATGTATTTTTCACATTAAACTTTGGCCTTCAAATTCTCTTGCAATTGACCTCAGTTTCCTGGAACATAGTAAGAGGCAGAATATGATCACTTTTTAAAAAGAGATAGTATGAAACTACAGTAATCAGTGCATACAAAAAAAGGAATATGAATCTCTACTGTATAGTGTTTGGGGGTAACAAAGGCTCGATGTCTTAAGTTGATAGATTACTTGACATGACATCACAAATTACTCCCCAGTAAATTAACTATGCAACCAATAAAATTTTTATTTACAAATAAAAATTTCTAAATATTATAAATGAAAGGCGAAACCACATATAGCGTGTTAATGCTAATGAATATGCATGATATATTACTGAACAGAACTTCAGTTGAATGTAAGTTTATTTTTTGTACACCTACTGCTACACAAAATATTCAGCAATAATGTTATTTTACCACTCGTCTATTTGTTAACAAGCTCATGTCTTGTACAGAAATGAAGAGACACTAGTGGATTTGGTCTAAAAACAGAGGTAAGGTATTTCTTTGCCATGACCCTTATTGGGTTTTGGGTTTGTCATGTGAATTAGTGAATCATAATAATCTGGTTTATACCAGGTTTGACCTTAAGTACATCTTGCCTACTGCTCTATACTAAATGGCAATAGTTGTTCGGAATTTTTGGCAAGATTTTTTCCCCCAATATAGCATGGAGAATCCAGGGCTGAACTTTGGACATTCAGAATGCATCAATCCACTCTAATACTGTTAAAACCAAATTCCCAATATAACTGACACCACAGAATTTGTAAGGATGAAGTGGGGTAGCGGATAATCACTTTGGGGATGGACAGAATATAAATTTGAGAAATAAATATACTTTGAGAAATAAACCAAATACTTTCAAAATCTTTTACATTTATACCTTGGCTTTGATAACATTCTTGCTGCTCCAGTCTGGAAACATCTTTACATTGCTACTGTTTTCTTTCTCTGAATCATCTAATGATGTCGAAGCCAAACAACTTGATTTTTGACTGGTTTTTTCCATAGGACCTGTTATTCCTGGACAACAAAAAGAAATGGAACATGACATCTTGGATTCTGTTTGCATGTAAGGATCAGATTCATTCATGAATTGACTTAATTACACAATGGTCATGGGAAAAAGAGAGGATAGTGGCTTGAAGAATGTTACAAATGCAGAACATCTGCACATTCTTCTTTTATCGGGAAAACAACAGAGTCTTCTCTGCCAGAAGACATTTACCAATAAATTGGATGTTAAAGTAAATGAAACGAATTGTCAACATTTTTTATAAACAAAATTTCTTCCCTTTCAATAAATTTGAGTAAAGAAGACTATGTGGGAATTTCAGTTCTTTATTGTAAGCTGCTGCTAAGGGCTGGATAGCTCCAGTTCTACAAAATGCAGGAAGAAGTAGATATAAATTCTACAAGCCAAATCACTTAATATAATGGATCATAGTTCTTACATAAATACTTTGGCCACCTAATGAGAAAGAAAGACTCACCGGAGAAGAGCCTAATGCTGGGAAAGATTGAGGGCAAAAGAAGAATGGGATGACAAAGAATGAGGTGGCTGGATGGAGTCACCGAAGCAATAGGGGTGAGCTTAAATGGACTCCAGAGGATGGTAGAGGATAGAAAGGCTTGAAATAACGTCATCCATGGGGTCGCAATGGGTTGGATACGGCTTTGCAACTAACAACAACAACTTATTACATTATAAAAAGGGCATAATTCTCAACCATCCTTATTGTTAGGGATGTACAAGAAGTACAGATATACCCTCCAATTATAAATAAAATAAAATAAATTGGCACTGAAATCAAACACATCCTGACCATTTTTTAAAATGGAAAGTTTGAGAAAGGGAACCATCAGATGTGGATTTTCCAATTGAGAGCAAAAGAACGAAGCAGTAGAAAAACATTCTCTCACCACAAGTGTTCTTAGCCAAATAATTTACTCTTTTTCAATTGAACAACTTGTAGAACAAGAGCACACGTAAATCACAGTGCTTTGTAAGATTCACTGTATGCATGCATATGGGAGGGAAAAGAGAGTTTGGTAAGAAGATAACATTTGAAAGTGAGAATGTTGCCCTCCCAATCTGCAGCATATCAGGCTTTTTTTAAAAAAAAAATCTTCAAGACAATTTAATTAAGAAACAGACCATAGAAGGCTGCTGCAGTGAATATTAGCATTAAGATCAGGACAATCTTACTGCTACTGACTTCTTATGAAGCAATTCAGTGCTTGCAGTTTCTATTCAATTTGTTATAATGACAGTGTTTAATCATGGAGTCTTTTCTATAGCACGTTGCTGAACTGAGGTCACACATGTGGCTATTCAAGCATGTAGCATATAATCTATAACTAAGATTTCTGTTCTAAATCTCCTTTAGTTGTGCTATTAATTAACAATACACTTTAAAAAACAGTTTAACTTAAAATACCTTTTCTTTAACTACAATCTGAAATGAGCAGGGGGGTTTCCAATGAAGCATACAGCATGTATTTGCATTCTGTTATAAGCAGTACAAACCCGTATTAGGAATATTACTAAATCAATTAAATTCCAGCATGTTTAATTAGAAGGTGTCTCATAAACTGTCAAGAATCTTTAATGCAGCTTATTTACTCATCTGTTCAATTTAAATATTGACACATTAGCAAAACATTATTTGGGAGTCTTGCAGCAGATTTCTAATTCTCATTTGAATGTGGCAGTCAGATAAAAGGTCAGCTTTGCCAAATAATTGTGCAGTGTAAACATCTTAACGTACTCTTCTGCTTTAAGATTTTTTATGGAAGTACATGGAATCATGTACTTCATAAGAGGTACATGGGATTTTTAAAAATAATAACATTTAGCACATGAGGTTCAAATACCTCTGATGAACTTGAAAAGGGCAGCTTTTTTTTTCTTCTCAGTAAAATGTCTAGGGAGATTCTCAGTCATCCAGGTCATAGTTGTTCCAAAGGTGATTTTCAAAAGGCAGCTGGACTTTCTTAGGGTCCCCCCTCTACCTTAAAAACATTTCTTCAGTTAAATTGAATTGAAGAAGGTTCTTGGATGAGAAGCAAAAAGTTTTCAAGGAAAAAAAAACACCAAGAAAGTCCAGATGTCTTTTGAAAAGCACCTTTGGGACAACTATGGAATTCTGAATAAGGTGGTTAAGCTATTTCTTGATGTAGATTGTTTGAATGCTTCATATAACAAGAATCATACTGGGATACTTTTAGGAATTTGAATTGGCATTTACAACAAATCCACCTGGACTAAGATCCACATGGTCGCATAGGAGATACCCACACATTACATGCACATACACCAGTGGTGGGCTCCGGATCCCGCTGCAACTGGTATGGTGCAATGGGGCCAGATGTCCACCACATGCACACAGCCAGCACGCACATGTGTACCCACTGCCCACAATGCTCCAGCTGCTCGGCGGATAAACATTTTAAAATGAAAAGCTCTCCCAACTCTGGAAATTCTCCAATTTGCTTCTGGCTACAGCTTAAATTTGCCCTGACTTATGGTAGCTTTGACATTATCCACAAGGTATTTAAAGACATGGTGTGGGAAAGTAAGCTACTGGAGCAAAATTGCAGGAACCTTTTTCTCTTATTTGGGCCTTTTCTCCAGCATCAGCCTAGCAGAATTGCTATTAAAGCTGCAACCTTGACACAGGTGTGGTAGGAGGTGTGTGCTTTGGAGCTCTATAGCCACCAGCAGAGTACAGCAGCCAAATGAATGAATGTGATATTCCTTCAGCAGAAGTGGATGCTCCGAAAGAGAGGAAAAGAAGTATAAAGGCTCAACTAGATAAAACAGCACATAAAAAAGACACAAGAATTCTACATGGTGGCCATTAACAGAAAAAGAAAGAAAGGGGGGGGGGACTTAAGACAGAACAGACTTAAGTCATAAGTATAAGTCATAAGATACACTTAAGACAGTGTATCGTATATTGAATAGTAATAATATGAACATTGTTAAATATACCGTATTTATCGGCGTATAACACGCACCGGCGTATAACACGCATCCCCCATTTTAACACAAAAATTTGAGTAAAAATTTTTTTCATTAAAAATAAATGACTTGGAAGCTCGGAACTTAATGTTGGATTAAAATTTATAACATTAGAACATGAATTATAACATTAACTCCTCTTAAAAGGCAAATATGAAATGAAAAAACACCTCTTTGAGCAAAAAAACTTAATCAGAATCACTGCTTTTTGGAAAACCAAAAACCTCTTCCTCATCTTCACTCTCTCCCTCTTTTTTCCCTTCCTTCCCCCTTCCTCTTGCCTATCAACTTCATCCTCTTTGTCTTTCTGCTCTTTCCCTCTCTTCCCCTTTTCTTCCT